CCGAGCTTACATCAATGACTTACGATGTACTCTCACGTATGAAAACTTGGGGTGTAACACACAACTTCATTCTCTTTTTCTTCTTTTTGTTTTCTTGTTCTTTTTTTTATTTTTTTAATGATGATTCAATCGAACCCTATGTAGGCTGCCTACATATCATGTCTCTCATGAATCAGATCAAGCATAGTTCTGGGAAAGTAATGGACAAAATAAATTAAGAAACAAAAATCTTTTTGAATTTTTCATTTATATTTTTTTGGTCTTTCAAATACAAAATAGAAAGTATGATAATGAAAGACTCGACAAACTCTTAAACCACCTAAGAGACTTAAAAACAGGCTCAAAATATAAAAAGACTCCTCAAGTAACTCCTGGACGCAATTGTCCTGGGGTATCTGTCATGCTCGAGTCCTGGTACGTAGATCCACACCTGAATGAGAAAAGTAGGACCAAATAGATTAGCGACTCAAGAAACTATGTGAGACCACACCTCCTATTGGACACATTCTAGACAACTATTTTTGAAAATTAACCTGCATGGCCAAGAGTGGCTATTAATGCAAACTCAACAAGATTGACCTCATGGACATGGAAAATACCTCACTAAGGATTTTATAGATTCAAACTCCCAATATCATGGCCCAAAATTAATTTGCAGAAATGTCCCATTTTGCAAAAATGACCGATATGGCCAGAAGTGGTTAAAAATGCAAACTCAGAAGGACGGACCTTAAGGTAGTGGGACACTTAGTTGCGAACTCAGGATTCTGAGACATGGGTCAATGAACCACTTTTGCGAAAATGACCCCATTTTACAAGAATGGTCGATGTGGCCAAAAGTGGCTAAACATGCAATATATGGCTAAGACTCCACAAAGCCAAGAACCTAAGACTTGCTAGGAAGACCAGACCCAATGTGGGTTGCCTACGTATCACGTCTCGAAAGATGAGAATCAGGTTCGCGTAGTTCGGAAAGATTGGTCATGGGAGAAAGCCTTTAAAAAAAATGCAACTAATTGGGAAAAACCATATTTTGTCTTTTTGAGAAATGATGGAAAATGTAAACTCTTTTTGGATTTTCTTTTCTTTTTTTTTTGAATTTTTGGAAAATGATGAAAAATGCAAAATCTTTTTGGATTTTCTTTTTCTCTTTTTTTTCGATTTTTTGGAAAATAATGGGAAAGTGTAAAATCTTTTTGGATTTTCTTTTTCTCTTTTTTTTCGATTTTTTGGAAAATAATGGGAAAGTGTAAAATCTTTTTGGATTATCTTTTTTTTTTTCCTTTTTGTTTTTGATTTTTTTGGAAAATAATGGGAAAGTGTAAAATCCTTTTTGGATTTTTCATTTTCATTTTTTTTGAAAATGTAGTGAAAGAAAAATATAATTGGGCCCTACTTGCTTCGTCTTTCACCCTTCTTTCCCAATCATCGGTCCGTTAAATGACCTTTTTACCCTCAAAGATGCAACATGTATCACATAGGGATGATTGAATGTCTTTTTGGGCCACGGGCCCATTTTGAAAAAATTTGGATAGGCTTCCTACAAAGGGAAATGGTACCTGGGACCGAGCCCTGTTAAGTCTAAATGGCATGATGCAAATAAAAATGACCTAAAGGCTGACCTAAGTTTGGGGTTCACTAACAAGGCAATTCGGGGGAGCGTATGGTCGATGGTGGCTGCTCAAGCTTTCCACCCACTCCATACGTCTGACGGCCCTCCCCCTCCTAAATTAAGGGTGACTCTACAAAGAATTCGTGCATGCGACACATACTCCGAGACTTGTTGCAGAAAGAAGACCCATGGATATGCAAATGATGACAGTTTATAAAACAGTAACACATTAAGAAAAGCGATAAACAAATAACCAACAAAACAAGGAAATAAGACAAACAACGCAAATAAACAAAGCAAATAAAGAAAACAAACACCTCAACCGAATATCCTAAAATCCAACAAGATCAAATACCAGCTCGAACCTGCAAGTCCCCAGCAGAGTCGCCATAGATGTTACACCCCTTTTTAACCAAACCTCACTAAACCCTCTTAAAAAGAATAAAAAGATTTAGTGAAAAGCTTGAAAAGTGTTTTCAATTTTGAAAGTGACAAAAATTGTATTCAAAAGGAAAATAACTCAGAGTCGCCACCTGACTTTGATTTCGGTGTGTCAGGTCACTGTTTTTCTTTTAAAATGACTTTTCCTTTTAAAACATTTCAGACTCTAAAACTAAGTCCGCATTAGAGAATCGGGTAAGGGAGTTCATTTGACTCGGGAAGAAGGTGTTAGGCACTCCCCAAGTCCCGTGAAGGTCACGGTTGCGTACTCGATCTAGTTGGCTTGTAAAATATTCGGGTTGAGGTAAAATCACGAAAAAAGTAAAATAAAAACACATGAGGCTCGAGGTCGTCCCAACCTAAATGAAATCAAATTAAAAGAAGGAAAATTAAAGTTCTAAATTATTCTACGCTACTTCTTCTACGATGTTCGCCACGGACTCCAATTACATAATATTTCGGGGCATACCCCGGATAAAAATATATACAAATTCCTAGGGGCATCCCCGGATAATAAACTAAGGGAAACGACCTCTCGTCTCAAAAATAAAATAAAGAAAACCTAAGATTTGCCTACCCAAGCATGGTTGGCCTAAAGCATGCTCCTAACGATTTTTAAATAAATAAAATGAAAGGCAGCGAAACAGTAGCATGAACCATCAATGGTTCTTTGTTTTTCAATTAACTTGGTTCATTTAAATTAAATCAAATTATTACCCCAACATCCACCGAATCCCTCAACCATGAACAATATCCTTTTTTCATTTCAGTGATCCACCAAAGCATTTATCCAGGCATATCATGAACTCAAGGTAAACTAACTGATCGAGCAAACTAAATTAATTAAACAAAGGGTAGAAGAGTTACTTTAAATGAGGTAGGTTTAAGAAATGAACCTTGATATAGCCGAAAATTGATCGTTGCACTACTTTAAACTCGAAAATGTATCGGACCGCGGACGGTAACTCGAATCGGTGAGCGAACCTTCACATCAACTGACTGAAGCAATATCAAACTTGCAAATAGAGAAAAACGCAGCAACGAACAGAAGCAAACGACACTGAATTGATTTCCAATACATTTGAATCTCCGACAATTACAAGAATTCCGACTAAAAGGAAGATGACAAGCAGCAGCAACAAAATTGCACCAGTATTACATTGAAGAAGGGGACGTCCAAACTAGAATATGAACAGAACTTCCGATCGGAATTGCGCCGAACTTGACAACCTCGAATTGAACTCATAATCTGACTGTCCCCGCTAAGCCAGAGATCAATGGACACTTTTTAAGACTAGAGAGTTGGATTTGCGTGTTCATGTGTATTTGAAAACGTGGGGAGCCATGGCTTTGCATTCTTTTGGGTCCAACAGAGAGGTCGCCGAGGAGGGTCACGACAGTGATGGAGGTGAAGAAAGAGATCTGGTTCATTGCTTGGGGGGTCGTGAGGAGGTGAGCAGCAGTCATTTTGTGTCATCTTGGATCTGCAGAACTGGGCGTCGCTGGGTGTTGCTGGTCGGCGGCTGGTGAGGGCGTGGTGTTCTGATCGTAGAAGAAGAAAGGGGTCAGCAACGTGTGTTTGGGTGGTGAGGTGAAGAGGCAACAACGACGACAACGGTGGCTGCTGTGAGATCCATCGGCGAGGGGTAAGGGACAGCAGCAGATGTCGCTGATAGGAAGTGTTTTCCAGTGAGTTTTGAGGTTGAAGATAGGGTGGCAGCTATGGAGGTGTTCCTAAATATTAGGGTCCCCTCTTGTGTCTTCGGGTATTTTTTCTATCTCTTGTTAAAGAAGAAGACCATCTGATGGGGTTGTGGGCTAAAAAAAATGGGCTTGGGCCAAAATACTTAGGAAAGTTTGAAATTGGGCTAGTCTTGGGGGTTGTTCAAATTGGGCTCAAAGACTAAAAGCCAATAGCAAATTACTACTAGAATACTAGTAATTGACTTTAACTACATAAAATTTATATTGATATGAAACCATCATTTTTCAAAAATTATATATTAAAATGAAAGCAGAGAAAAGTTAGTTAGAATAATAGCAAACTTAGATTAATATTACTACAAAAGACTAATGGCCTTAACTTAAATACAAAGATAAAAGATAAAATAAAAAAAATAAAAAATAATTTTTGTATTTTCGAATTTTATGTTTTACTATTAGACTAAAAGTGAAATATAGGCTAAATCCTATTAAAATAAAAATAAGTAAATATTTTTTTAAAAATACTACTTTTAAAAGTTGCGCGGGTAAAAAATTACGTGCTTACAAGACCTCAAATCAATCTTGGAGAATACCATCGCTCCATGAAACTGGTCAAATAGATCATTAATACACGACAAAGGATACTTGTTCTTGATTATGACTTTGTTCAACTACCTATAATCATTGCACATTCTCATAGTGCCATCCTTCTTCTTCACGAACAAGACTGGTGCACCCCAAGATGACACACTAGGCTTAATAAACCCCTTATCAAGGAGTTCCTGAAGCTGCTCCTTCAATTCCTTCAACTCAGCTGGCGCCATACGGTACGGAGGAATAGAAATGGGCTGAGTGGCCAGCACCAAGTCAATACCAAAATCAATGTCCCTATCGGGTGGCATGCCTGGTAGGTCTGCAGGAAACATATCCGAAAACTCTCGCACTACCGGAACAGAATCAATAGTAGGGGTCTCTACACTGACATCCCTCATAAAGGCCAAATAAGATAGATAACCCCTTCCAACTATTCGATGGGCTTTCAAGTATGAAATCACTCTAACGGGAACATAGTCTAACGAACCTCGCCACTCAATCTGTGGCAACCCCAGTATCGCCAACATCACAATCTTAGCGTGACAATCCAAAATAGCATGACATGGAGACAACCAGTCCATACCCATGATCACATCGAAATCATCCATACTAAGCAACAATAGATCAACTCTAGTCTCCAATCCCCGAACAGTCAGTACACACGACTGATATACACGGTCCAGAATAATAGTATCATCCACCGATATAGATATATGAACAAATGAAACTAGAGACTCAAGGGGCATATCTAAATAATGAGCAAAATACGATGACACGCGTGAATAAGTGGAACCAGGATCAAAAAATACAGAGGCGTCCTTGTGGAAAACTGAGACAATACATATAATCATTGCATCTGAAGCAATGGCATCTGGTCTGGCAGGAATAACATAGAATCGGGCCTGACCGCCACCTGATCGGCCTCCCCCTCTAGGGCAACCTCTAGATGATGGAGCCCCACCCCGAGCTGGCTGAGCGGGTAGTGTAGCAACTGGTGCAGATGACGTAGCCTGACTCCGCTATGTTGGATCTCCTTGATGATGAGGACACTACCTCCACACATGCTCAAACTCTCCGCACTCAAAACAACTCCCTGATGTTGGTAAGGGGGACTAAAGGGAGTCCTGAGCACTAGGATAACTGGTATAAGGACCTGGCATAGATGAGCCCTGAACCGAGGGATCACGGGACAAACTCTGAGCTGAAAGGGCACTGAGAGATGAATGACCCTGATAAGAACTATAAGAACCATGGCCAGATGTTGTACCACGGTGAACTGGGCAAGCCGTCTAAGCATGCCTATACGGACAACCCCTGTCGTGGTAGAACTGACCTCCAGAAGGAACACCACTAAAACCACCTGATCCACGAGACCTCTTGGCCTCCCTTCCAACACGCTTATGGTTATGGACCATCTCTATCTACCGAGAAATATCAACAACCTCATCGAACGTAGCACTAGATACCCTCTCTCTAGTCATAAGCACCCATAGCTGAAATATAAGGCCGTCAATGAACCTCCTGATCCTCTCCCTATGAATGGGAACTAACCAGACCGCATGACGAGCCAACTCAGAAAACCTCATCTCATACTGCATCATAGACATATCATCCTGATGTAACTTCTCAAACTATCTGTGTAGCTCCTCTCTGTGAGACTACGACACGAACTTCTCCAAGAAGAGGGAAGTGAACTCCTGCCAAGTAAGTGGTGCAGCACCAACCGGCCTACGCCTTTTATAAGCCTCCCACCAACTGAAGGAAGCTCCAGTAAACTGAAAAGTAGTGAACGAGACCCCACTGGTACCAAGAATACCTGTTGTACAGAGCATCCTCTAACACTTATCTAAGAAGTCTTGTGCATCCTCCGCCTCTACACCACTGAAAAATGGAGGCTGGAGTCTCCCAAACCTCTCCAATCTACAATGCTCATCATCGGGCATAACAGGAACCACAAAGTCCTGAGCAGCTACAACCGGCTGGGCTGGTGGTGCCCCCGGTGTTTGGAGTCCCTACATCACTTCCTATGGTATGCGAGCAGCGGGAGTCTGAGTACCTCCTCGACTTGAGAAGTGGTTGTTGCGTCCGGAATAGAGACTGTCTGAGCAAGACTGGTGCACACGGTCAGAATCTGTGCTAAGGCCTCCTGAAGGCCTGGAATCACAATGGGCACGGGCAATGCCTGAGCTGGCCCTACTGGCGCATCCACAACTAGGACCTATTCTTGAACTGGGGCAGCTGGTGGATTTGGAGGTGCTCCCTTAGCTGTTATACAAGATGCACCTCTGCCCCTATCGCGGCCTCTACTGCGACCTTGGCCTCTCGTGGCCCTAACTGGTGGTACTGGTGGTTGTCGATCATACCAAGTAGTACGTGTCTTCACCATCTATGAGAGAATAAAATAACATAAGTTTAGTTACTAGCATCAACAGACTCACACGACAAGAATTCAAGAATGTGAAGTTTCGTAAAGGTTCGCCAGCACGTGGAAGATAAGTATAGACGTCTTTATACCGATTATCAAGACTGTACTAAACTTTCTCATGACTCGTGAGACCTATGTAACCTAGGCTCTAATACCAACTTATCACGACCCAAATCCTAACCTGTCGTGATGGCGCCAATCGATGGTACTAGGTAAGCTGACATTTTTAAAATATATCTAATATTTCACAGAAAAATAAATCAATAGTTTTCAAATAAATGGAATTTTCATAAACAGGGGTTAAACCCAAAATACAAGTGCGGAAAATAGCTCCAACATCGGGGTGTCACTAAGTCATGAGCATCTAAACATAACCAGTCTGGAAGTAAAATGATTATCACAGTCTGAATCCAAATAAAATGAAAGAAAAAATAAAGAAGAAGAAAACAAGGTCTGTGAATACCAGGCAGCTACCTCGCTATCTCTAACGGTCAACCACGAGAACTATCAACACCCTCCGCGTCTAGAAACTCCTGGATCTGCACCCGAAGTGCAGGGTGTAGCGTGAGTACAACCAACTCAGTAAGTAACAATAATAAATAAGGAACTAAAAGACAGTGATGAGCTACACCGTTGTAATTCATTTTCTGTAGTCTCAACAAGGAAAATAGACACGCTTCCCAAATCTAGTAAATTAAGTCAAATCAATATGTTTATGCCAAGTTCAAGTAAAACCAGATAAAGATATCTTTCAGACGTTATGCCAGTCTTCACATTCACTCCAACCTCACAATCACTCATTCCTCACAGTCACTCATTCCTCACGATCACTCAACACTCGGCACTCGGCAGTCAACACTCAAAACTCGGACTCAGTAGGTAACTGCGCTCACTGGGGATGTGTACAGACTCCGGAGGGGCTCCTACAGCCCAAGCGCTATATCAAGCCAATCATGGCATAAATCAATAAAAACATGATGTGACGTGCAACCCGATCCCATTAATATTCTCACAATCAAGCCCTTGGCCTCACTTAGTCATCAATCTCTCCAGTCACTCAAGCTCTGAGAAGTCAGGAACATTAGTCCAAACAACAATAACATGATGCATCAATAAGAATAACAGAGATTGCAATATGATTTGCGAGTAAAAACTGAGATTAAGTAGCATTTAGCAGGCAATTCATCATGAAACGAGGCCTCTGTGGGTCCCAACAGTACCAACATATAGCCTAAACATGGTTTCTAACATGATTTACAGCCAAATTTCTATAACACATAGAATTATATAGCAAACAACAAGTTATTTAACTTTACAGTTTCATGGGACAGACCAAGTCACAATCCACACGGTGCACGCCCATACGCCCGTCACCTATCATGTGCGTCACCTCCAAAATAATCACACGACACAAAATCTGGGGTTCCAAACCATCTGGACCAGATTTAGAACTGTTACTTACCACAATCCGAGCAACACTCTACTCCAAATGCCTTTGCCTAGCGAGTCGGCCTCCAAATGTCCCGAATCTAACCACAAATAGTACAATATAATCAATACAGGCTAAAGGAATTAATTCCACAAGAAAATTACGAAATTATACCCCAAAATTTGAAATCGGCTCAAACCTGACCCCCGAGCCTACGACTCGAAGTCCAACAAAAGTCATAAAATCCGAAAGCCCATTCACTCATGAGTCTAACCATACCAAATTTACCAAATTTTGACATCAAATGGTCATTCAAATTCCCAAAATTCACTCTTCAAATCCCTAGCCTCAAACCCCAAATTTCACCTAAAAAACACGCCAACTAGGTGGGAAATTAGTGGGGAAACATCATTATTGAAGAAAAATGAACACAAGGAGCTTTCCTCAGTAATCTCTTCAAAAACCTCCAAAGTCCGAGCTTAAAATGATGAAAATGCTGAAAAATCTCAAAGTCTCATATTTATAGTTTCTGCCCAGGTTTTCCGCACCTACGGCAACTTAGCCGCTTCTGCGGTCTTGTAGGTATGCCCCAAAGCCCGCTTCTGCGG